TTACCTTTACACCAGTTTCAAAATACAAACCGGTATTGAACAAATACCATTTTTCTCACATTTGTGATACTTTTATATACTTGATCTGTACTGAGTAGTAGGAAAGGGGGGATTCGAGTGCAATCCTTGCGTCAACCATGCTGTTAACGCAAGGCCGACGCAAGCACCCCTTGCGTCACTCTGCGGAGGTCATATGCCAGAAATTATTTTCAAGCACTAAATAATATAAAAATTTCTATCAAATAAAACTTCTGATATAGATAAAAATCGAATTTTGTGCGTTTTTTTCAAAAGCGTATAATGAAATATACACCACAGGCCATAAGTTTGGATATCCCTATGGATGAATTTGGCCCAAAATTTTGAAATTTCAAACCGCTTGTCCAATTTCAACATGCTATACGTCGTTGGAAAGGTCTCGGAGAGTACGTATCATTTTTGGTATTAAACATCAAAATCGGCCAGCTTTTGGCCAAGATATGGCTGATTGAAGATTTCGGCCAAAAAATTACAAACGGCCATATCTTGGCCAAACGCCGGCCGATTTTGATGTTTAATACCAAAAATCACATCTACTTTTCAAGACCTTTCCAATGGCGTATATAACTTTTTAATCCGATGGCCCGTTTAAGACTTTGATTTTGGCTCCCACAGCTCAAAGGCCAAAAGATGGCCATAGGCCGGCCAAATGTTATCTTCCAAATCATCCATTCGGTCAGAATTTCGATATATTTTCATATCCAATACAAAATTTCAAGTGGAAATGTTCAAAAAACGAAGAAACAAACGTTTCAAAGAGGTATCCAAACTTATGGCCTGTGGTGTACCTATTTTTAAAGAAAATTCTTTTTCACATTTATTCGAATCGAAATTCTATACATCGTTGGGAAAACGTGATCTGCCCTTTGCTCTGAACTTATCCAATAAATTCAAGTTCCGAATGAATTGGCGTGAGACTGCATTGCCGTCGAGAACATTTGCGTTAGTTTCTTCAATTAAAATTCTTCCGTGCTCAAGCAGTAAGCCCACAAACATTTCGTACCATGCTAATGATCCTATAACAATCATAAAAAAATCAGTTTCAATTATAATTATTATTAATAAATTGGTTCATTATACCTATTGCCATTGGTTGTTGGCGAGTGTTATCTTGGCTGTACCCAAAATTGGCTTCGTAGTCGTCAATCTTCTTCAACATTGAGTCTATAATATTGTTACACTGTCTGCTGCAAGCAAGCAGTCGAACATTACGTTGATTGCTTCTCATATCGCTTAGTCTCGTCAGAATTTGCTCGTAAAGAGCAGTTATCCAGTTATTAACCTCAGTTAGAGAAGCTGAAATCGAGAAATCAAAATTTATTACCTTCAACTCCGATCGACTCATTAGAAATAATCAAAACAAATAGTTAAACTAAATACATACAAATTCCCTTGACCACATGCGATCTACCCACTTCGGATTTTATATGAAATTCCTCAATTTCATCTAGTTCTGTCTTTATAGGTAGTTTATCTCCACCCGAAACCATTTCGTCTATCAAAAAATAAGAAAATTACATGGAGAAACGAAACAGAACAGCACAAAACAACACAAAACGCCACAAAATTGTGCTTGAGAATAAAGGTCGAGATGATATTTCTGGAAATTATCTTAAAGTGGAACATAAACTTGTACATTAAAATCGATATAATATCTCCATTCTTCATCTCAAGCATATAAATTTATGAATAAAAGACAAACATACCAGATATACTGCCACGACTTGCCATTTTTAAATATTTTTTTGAAGAAATTTTCACAATATATTCGATTCGTGTGTTCCTCTAAAATGTGAGCTTGACAGATATTGTTTATAATTTCAAAATCCATATTGTTGCAATAACCATCTGTCACATTCGACTAGAGTGAACAGATGTGATTTTAAAGTGTTAAAGTTTTCATTCAAAATTCAAGAAAATTTTACATGTAAAAAAATAGTGTTGAAAAAATTAAAAATTTCCAATAAAATTGAATGAAATTGACATTTTTTTCTTGAAAATATACAATAATTTTTTTTTTTCATTTTTCACATAAAGTTTCATAACAATATTTTCAGTTCGAAATGTCAACTGTTTCAAGTTTCATTCGTTTATGGCAAACTTCATGTCTATTTACAATATTAAGTGAATTATTCGTCAAGAAAAAACAATGTAAACAGCAATAGTATCTTTCTTCTTTCTTTTGTCATTTTCTTCTTGATGAACCGAATCAGAACATGTAAATTCTCCATGATCGACCAGCGTATTAGAAATAAATAAAAAAAAATGGTAACAAATTATCTGGCAAATTTTGCCTCAATATTGGTGTCTTTTGAGCTTTTAGTTTTAATACGATATGTGGAGAAGCCATATTCAACATAATTCTTATTAAATTCATCATTTTCAATGGGAATGTATGCGGCGTCTCCACTAAATCTGTCAAGTATTAAATAGAAAAAGCTAATTGACACCAAACTTTACCAAGTACTTTTTATTTTCGAAACATTGATTTTGTGCCTTTGTACACGTAGTGTGTACAGTTTATCCTGTAGGTAAGTTTCAATTTTGTGTGGAATGATTGATATGAACAATTATATTGATTATTATTATATGTTGATTTTGAAAATGAGCGTGTATTCTATTTCTCAACAGGCATCCATATGTCGCATTTTTCCACTTGTTTTTCCGTGGCGTGGCCATCGTTATTGTTGCATATCGCAGTAACCTCATAAAATCAATATAGTTTTACCCTTGCATTTATTAGTAACCTCATAAAATCAATATAGTTATACCCTTGCATTTATTGTCACCGATTTAATTTGAATAAAGTTAGTTTAGTTCACACAGTACAAACGAGTAGACGTATTTCTAATACACAACATATTTGGCGACAAAGCTACCTTAAAGTTCCTCCGCGCAACTCAAATCATCAAAATGAACACTTTCAACGAAGAATTTTTAAATTACTTCAAGGATTTCATGGAACAAACCAGAGAATCTATTCTTCTGCAACAGCAACAAATGCAACACCAAGAAATCCGACACAACCACACTCAAAGCACCATCAATGAAATCCTCGGCATTTTAAACAATTTATCGAATCGTGGTTCAACCGAAAACCTCGTTGGAGCCCCTCGAAAAACCACGGATCCAGAATTCTTGATCGAAGCTTTATCAACCTCACTCACCGAATTCGTCTACGACCCCGAAAATGATTGCATCTTCGAAAACTGGTATCGTCGATTCCAAGATTTTTTCGAAAGAGACGCAGCCAACCTGGACGACCCTGCAAAAGTGAGATTATTGCTTCGCAAATTGGAAACGTCTGCTCACCAAAGGTACATGAACTACATACTCCCAAAACGTTCATCAGAATTCAGTTTCACTGAAACCATCGAAAAGTTGAAGAAACTATTTGGAAGACACGAGTCCCTGCTCAAAACTCGCTTCAAGTGCTTCAAAATCAACAAAAATGATGAAATGAACTATCTCGACTACATGGGAAATGTCAACAAAGCTTGTGAAGCTTTTGAACTGAAGAAAATGTCCATCGACCAGTTTAAATGTCTCATCTTCGTTGCCGGCCTATCATCGACCAGAGATCTCGACATCCGAACAAAGCTTTTATCAAAACTTGATGTCGAACACGATAAAATCACGCTCGAAAAGCTAAGTGACGAATACGGTCGACTGATAAATCTCAAACGGGACGCTTCGATGATACAAAAACCACTAGGATTTGAACATTCAATCCTAGTAAACCATGTGTCGAAAAATAAAAATCACTTCTAAAAAGAAAACAAGCCAAAACCAGATACAATTCTGGAAAATCCCGACAGTGATGACGATTGCAACAATTGCGGTAAAACTCATCCACCAAACCAGTGCCCAGCAGCAAAATCGAAATGCAACTTCTGTGGATTCAACGGACATTGGGTCCAATTCTGCAAATCGAAACAACACGATGAAAACTCCAAAAGTCGTGAACCTTCACAAGAAAACACGAACAAATCCAAGGGTCATTCATCAAATCATAAACCAAAGGTTTCCTCTGTGTTACTACACAAAATCGATTGCCAATCAAGAAAAAAGTTCGTTGACGTCCTAATCAACAACAAGCCCATTCAACTTCAAGCCGATTCAGCTGGCGACATTTCGATCATCTCGAAGCGAAATTGCCGAAAATTATACCTGCGAATTCGTCCGCTTTCGACCAGTTTGGCCCCGAAAAATGCATCAGGTAAATTGATCGACTTGATTGGAGAAATTGATTGCACAATCGAACTCTTAAACGAAAAAAAGAAAACAAAAATTTTCGTTTCGTCCCACGAAGATCTAAACATTTTTGGAAATGATCTTCTCGATTTATTCCATCTATGGGATAAACCCTTCAACGAATTCTGCAGCAACAAAACAGAAATGATTTCGAATAACATTCATGTTCGTACCATTCATGCGAATTCACCAACCAACTTAAGTGAACTCCAATCACTTATCGCTACAGCAAATTTCTACAGAAAGTACATCAAAAATCTTCACTACATTCAACGCAAACTAGAAATACTGCTTGAAGGAGATACCAACAAAATTTGGCCTGAAGAACATCGACGTATTTTCAATCACCACATTTGGCTATTGAAAAATGCAATTTCTTCGATTGCATCGAACTCTTGTGAAAGGAAGGAAGAATGGACATCCGATACCAACCAATTTGGAACCCACGTCTGCGATCACCCACAATTTTAACTAGAAGTTAAAATTTTAGAAGGGGAGGTGTTGCATATCGAAGTAACCTCATAAAATCAATATAGTTATACCCTTGCATTTATTGTCACCGATTTAATTTGAATAAAGTTAGTTTAGTTCACACAGTACAAACGAGTAGACGTATTTCTAATACACAACAGTTACGTACATGTTCTGCGGTATATTCATCAATTCACTCATCACGAGTTTTGTTGTTTGTAGTGCTGTTATTGTCCGCTGATTTTTGGACGGTGAAAAAT